TCCCTATTCAATAAATGGTGCTGAGATAACTGGCTAGCCATATGCAGAAGACCGAAACTGGACCCCTTCCTTACAACATATAAAAAAATTATTCAAGATGGATCAAATACTTGAATGTAAAACCCCCAACTATAAAAACCCTAAAAGACAACATAGGAGATACCATTCTAGATATAGAAACAGGCAAAGATTTCATGACAAAGATGCCAAAAGCTACTGCAACAAAAGCAAAATTTGACAAATGGGAAAATTTTTGCAAACTGTGCTTCTCACAAAGGTTTACTATTCAGCATCTATAAGAAGCATAAACAAATTTATAACAAAAATTCAAACAACCCCATTAAAAAGTGGGCAGAGGAAATAAACAGATACTTTCAAAAGAAGACATTTATGTGGCCAAAAACCATATGACAAAAGCTCTACATCACTGATCATTAGATAAATGCACATCAAAACCACAATGAGACACCATCTCACAGAAATTAGAATGTCTATTATTAAAAAGTCAAAGCATAACAGATGCTAATGAGGTTGCAGAGAAAAAGGAACACTTATACACTGTTGGTGGGAATGTAAATTATTTCAACCATTGTGGAAGACAATGGGCAATTCCTCAAAGACCTAAAAGCAAAAATATCGTTTGACCCAGCAATCCCATTACTGAGTATATACCCAAAGGAATATAAATCATTCTATTATAAAGACACATGCATGCATATGTTCATGGCAGCACTATTCACAATAATGGCAAAGACATAGAGTCAATATAAGTGCTCATCAGTGACAGATTGGATGAAGAAAATGTGGTACATGTACACCATGGAATACTATGCAGCCATAAAAAGCAAGATCATGATCTTTGCAGGAACATGGATGAAAATGGAGGCCATTATCCTTAGCAAATTAACACAGGAACAGAAAACCAAATATCACATGTTCTCACTTCCAAGTGGAAGCTAAATGATGAGAATATATGGACATAAAGAGGGAAACAACAGACACTAGGGCCTATTGTAGGGTCAAAGATGAAGGTTGGAGGAATGTTAGAAAAAATAACTAATGAATACTAGACTTAATACCTGGGTGACCAAATAATCTGTACAACTAACCCCTGTGACACAAGTTATATATATAACAAACCTCCACATATACTCCAGAATCTAAAATAACAGTTAAAAAAACCCCACTCATTTAAAATGATTAAAAAATTAAAAACAAGAAAATTACAGACCAATGCATAAGTGGTAAATAATTATAATTTTTCTGATTGCATTATTAAAATATTGTGATGAAATAGATTAAATTGCAAGGATATTAGGAATTTGCAAGAATGTAAGAAAGCTTTAACTTGAGAAAATTTGTATGAATAAGTGCATGTTTTTTCTGTTTGATACAATATCACATGGGAATTGAGTTGGTAATTTTCCAGAGAGTATTTGAGAATGGCTGATGATGATATACCCATCATGGTGGAAAAATGTACCTGAAAGAATACATCAGAGTGCTGGTCCTTTCAGCTACACAATAGTTGAGATGAAGGAGAGGTTTTCATAGTGTTGTGAGGTCAAGAGTATAAATGTTTGTTCCAAAATACCAGCTATGTGGTGTAATTGGATTTCCCCTTAAGAACTGTGGGTGGACATCAGGGAGATAGGCAGCCCTTTTTCTCAGCGACTGCATAGGGTCAAATCACCATCCCATGAATGCTCCACCCCACGTGGCCAGCTACAGGACAATGATGAACCCTAGTATCTCCCATAGTAACATTGATCTCAGTAGCTCCAGTGAGTTCAGACGGTTTATTGAAGTATTTGTAAATAAAAATGGGTCACAGAAGAAAATAGTTCAATTATATTAATAGATGATATAAAGATATTTGCTAAAACATTAATTACTAATTTATATTTAAGAAATATATTAGTAAACTGGAAATTAAAAAAATCAGTATATGGAGTGACTATATAAATTTTCATCTAAATCAAGTCATTCATAAGCATTTACAAATTGGATCCTATTAATAATACAAGAAATGTATCAGACAAAAACAATACATCGTTAACCTCAGGTATGAAAGTATGATGAGAGGAATTTAATGGGAGAAATGAGAAAAAAGTTAAGTGAGAGAAATTTAACATACAAAATACATTCATCTCCAAAATTAGCAATAATAATGGATGTGGAAATATACTCAAATAAACTATGAGCCTTCTCTGCTGCATAGTGCCCAAAGCATCTTAGCACAGATTTCTTACAAAGACTTTTTTTCCCTCTTTTCTTACCCCATGGTTCACAATATCTATGCTAATAATGTATCAAGATAAAACCAATACATCTATCTCTAGCAGATAATGTTTTGTGTGATTCCAGGGGGACAGTCACATGTTCAAATTAAAGTTTAAGTCTAGGGAGGGAGGTTATTTAACTTTTAAATTTTCTCATTCTTAGAAGGAGGACTTCATATTCTAACTACAATCGTCTATGCCCTGAGGACAAATAAAGACCAGAAAAATTAGAGATCTTACAAACACTAGGAAAAAACTCCTCTGGGACTGAATTGACACCTGCATTCACTGAATGCAGATCCAAGAAGGAATGGAGCCCTTCATGGGCATCAGCTCTGCAGCTGCAAGGCCAGACCTACTCAACCCCTCCCTGATTTGCATAATTTCCCTGGAGTCCATATCTGCTCTTTAGAATCCTCATGAATAGCCTTCACAGTGGTTCTGGGCAAGAAACAGCCTCTGGTTGACCCAGAATGAACATGGGTGTCCTGACTCAACTCTTTTGCCTTCTGCTGCTCTGGCACCCAGGTGAGGAGGGGAATGCAGGGAATACCCCTGAGATGATGGGGATCTTCTCTTCTAATTGTGAGAAACTTGCAGGATCTCTGTGAATTTCTGACCCATCATCTCCCCTTAGAGACCCAGGTGCCTCAGGTTAGGGGGCCAGGGCTTCTGGAACATGCTATCAGAAAATGGAGGTGAATTTGTGTTTTGTTCCTTTTCAGGTGTCAGAGGGAACACTGTGCTGACCCAGTCTCCAGCCCTCCTCTCTGGGTCTCTGAGAGACACCATCTCCATCTCTTGTAGGGCCAGTCAGAGCATTAGTGATTATTTAACTTGATATCAGCAAAAACCAGGCCAGGCTCCTAAGATCCTTATCTATGATGCTGATAACTGGTATTCTGGTGTCTCCCTCAGTTCTCTGGGATACAGTCTGGGACAGACTTCATTCTCTCAATCAGCAGTGTAGAGGCTGATGATGCTGCCACTTATTACTGCCAGCAGGTCTATGCAGTCCCTTGCACCATGTTACAGCCCTTAACAAAAACCTTCCTTCAGGGCTGTTTGTGCAGTGAGTGCATGTGGTTTCACAGCTGCACTCTCTCCTGTGGTGTGTTCAGAAACACAATGTCTATTTTTGAGTAGGGCTTACAGGCTCATGGGAAAAAAACCTGAAAAGAATTTTGGTACCCGAAAGGCTTACTTTTCCTTCACTTTGCAACAATAAAAGACACCGAAACCTTCAATTAATTCTAAAAAGGATATCTCTGGATTAGACCTGCCAAAGATTCCATTCATAGCATGGTTTTTGAATTCCCTCTTTGAGAATAATTTTTTTTTAGGTAGACAACTAGGTTAACAAAGAAACGAACAAACAACAACAAAAAAATCCCATATTCAGGGAAATAACAACAACTCATAGGCAACTACATTGTCTACTGTCATTTACTGAAGTCTTGAAGACTTACTGTATGTTGAATATAGTACTAAGGGTAAATAAACCTAGTGGAATTATTCCACAACAATGATCTGTAGACCAGAAGTTAGAGATTCCCAGAGTTTTAGTTGCTCAAGGTACCAGTGTTTGTGAGAGAACATGAAACAGGTACTCTGATATTAATACTCTAATACTGACTGTATAATTTCTACTAATCAGTCATAACTTTTAATGGCAAAAACTGCAACTACTTTTGCATCAACCTGATAATTAATTTTTAAAATTCTAAATATAGCTAAATTTAGTAAACTGTATTTGCTGCGTATAAAGTGATATAAAGTGTGCAGCTTAGTTAGCATAAACATATAGATACCAATTTTAACCACTACCCAGATGAAGCTGTACACCATCTTCAGCATCCCAAACGGCTTCCTCATGCTCCTTCTCTGTCAGTTTCATGCTCCATTCACCACTGCCAGAGACCATAATTTCCTGTTTTCCTCCAATATTGATTGAGTTTCTTTGTTCTTGAACTTTATATAACTGAAATATTATAGTATGTATCTTTTCTTTTCTTTTTTTTTTTTGAGACGGAGTTTCGCTCTTGTTACCCAGGCTGGAGTGCAATGGCGCGATCTCGGCTCACCGCAACCTCCTGGGTTCAGGCAATTCTCCTGCCTCAGCCTCCCGAGTAGCTGGGATTACAGGCGTGTGCCACCATGCCCAGCTAATTTTTTGTATTTTTAGTAGAGATGGGGTTTCACCATGTTGACCAGGATGGTCTCGATCTCTTGACCTCATGATCCACCGGCCTCGGCCACCCAAAGTGCTGGGATTACAGGTGAGAGCCACCGTGCCCAGCCAGTATGTAGCTTTTCATGTCTTGCTTCTTTGGTCATAATGTCTTTGGAGTTTTCCTATGTTGTTGGTGTGGCTGTAATTTGTTCCTTTTTACTGCTGCATAGTCTTCTATTATATAAATACAACACATTTTTGATTCATTCTTCAGTTATTGGTGGTCTTCAATTTGAATGTATCATTAATAAAGCTGTTAGGAACATTTTTGTACATTCCTTTTGTGCACACACTTCTCTTAGATATTCTTCTAGGAATGGAAGTGCTCAGTCATAGGATTGGCAAAGCCTTGGCTATGCCTAGCAGTGGGTCAGCCTGACACTGGTAGAACTCAGAATAGGATCCTGTCATTCTCACCATCTAACTTTATCCTGACTCAATGAAACTGGCAGAAGACAGAGGCTCCAAGGCTGAGGAGACCTTACCTTGGTCCTTCTCAGTTAGTGCTGGTGGAGAGGCTGTGACCCTTTGTGCTGCTGTCCCTGGAGTCCAACCTGCATCAGCTGCTTCCTCACTCCCACAGTGTCTTTTGGGGTTACTGTAATGAGGATCAGAAAAAAAGAGTAAATTTCATACAACATATTGTTTAATCTCACCATGTATTACTTAACAATGTGGAGTATATGATAATAAAACACAATTCGAGGAACATTGTTAAGGAAGGTTCTAGCACATTCTAGCATCATTTTATTTACTTGCAGGTAAGCCATAGAGCCATAGGTTTTGATTATTTCTACATGATAGATGGTGCATGTGGCCTGTTAGTTCTCTTGTGCAACTGTCATGCTGCCTGACTTCAAACTATACTACAAGGCCACAGTAATCAAAACAGCATGGTACTGGTACCAAAACAGAGACATAGACTAATGGAACAGAACAGAGGCCTCAGAAGCAAAACCACACATATACAATCAACTGATCTTTGACAAACCTGACAAAAACAAGCAATGGGGAAAGGAGTCCCTGTTTAATAAATGGTGTTGGGAAAACTGGCCAGCAATGCGCAGAAAGCAGACACTGGACCCCTTCCTGACACCTTATAATAAAATTAAATCCAGATGGATTAAAGATCTAAACATAAGACCTAACACCATAGAAACCCTTGAAGAAAACCTAGGCAAAACCATTTAGGAAATAGGCATAGTCAAGGACTTCATGGCTAAAACACCAAAAGCAATGGCAACAAAAGCCAAAATAGACAAATGGGATCTAATTAAACTCCAGAGCTTCTGTACATCAAAGGAAACAATCATTAGAGCAAACTGGCACCAACAGAATGGGAAAAAATTTTTTGCAATCTACCCATCTGACAAAGGGCTAATATCCAGAATCTATGAAGAACTAAAACAGATTTACAAGAAAAAACCAAACCCATTCAAAAGTGGGCAAAGCACATGAACAGACACTTTTCAAAAGAAGACATATATGAGGCCAACAAACATGAAAAAATTCTCATCATCACTGGTCATCAGAGAAATGCAAATCAAAAGCACATTGAGATACCATCTTACGCCAGTTAGAATGGCGATCATTAAAAAATCTGGAGGCAACAGATGCTGGAGAGGATGTGGAGAAATAGGAACACTTTTACACTGCTGGTGGGAGTGTAAATTAGTTCAACCATTGTGGAAGACAGTGTGGCGATTCCTCAAGGACCTAGAAATAGAAATTCCATTTGACCCAGCAATCCCATTACTGGGTATATATCCAAAGGATTATAAATCCTTCTATTATAAAGACACATGCACAGGTATATTCATTGTGGCACTGTTTACAATAGCAAAGACCTGGAACCAACCCAAATGCCCATCGATGATAGACTGGTTTGGGAAAATGTGGCACATATACACCATGGAATACTATGCAGCCATAAAAAAGGATGAGTTCCTGTCCTTTGTAGGGACGTGGATGGATCTGGAAACCATCATTCTCAGCAAACTGACACAAGAACAGAAAACCAAACACCGCATGTTCTCACTCATGGGGGGTGTTGAACAATGAGAACACATGGACACAGGGAGGGGAGCATAACACACTGGGGTCTGTTGGGGGGAATGAAGGGGGAGACAGTGGGGGATATGGAGTTGGGGAGGGATAACATGGGGACAAATGCCAGATATAGGTGACAGGGGGGTGGAGGCAGGAAATCACATTGCCATATACGTACCTATGCAACAATCCTGCATGTTCTTCACATGTACCCCAGAACCTAAAGTGCAATAATTGTGTGTGTGTGTGTGTGTGTGTGTGTGTGTGTGTATGTCTTTTGCTAACAGACACCAGATTTTTTTTCTTTGTTCTGGATGATGAGTTGTAAATGGATCAATAAAAAAGTATTAATTTGTCACAAAAAAAGAACTAGATCCAGTTTTAGCAGAGGGTTTTTTAACGTTCCATATTTATTTGTAGTGAAGATCACTTTTTTCTGCTCTAACCTTCCTTTTTAAAAAAATTTAGTTTTTTTCTCTCCTGGACTAGATAGGAGAAAAGAGCTCCCCCCTGTTAGTTATGGCTTCCCCCTGTTTGCTATAACTTCTCATTAAAGTTACTACTATGTTTTTCTTCTGTAATCTATAACTCTGAGTTCTACGACAGGTAGAAGTGTGGACGCTTGTGTTCTCTCCTCCAACACATCTATTTACTATTTCAAAACTCTCAATTACTGTTTTGTAGATCGTTTGGCTTTGGAAATGCTGATTTCAACCCAGGGAAGAAATGCAGGACAATGATGAGCCTTTCAGAGAAGCCTTCTCCTCGGCTGCAATGACCTGCCAATGGATGGTCAATCTCTAAGCCTGACTACATGGAAAGAATTTCAGATTCCTGACAGAATATGAGAAATAAACACAGAACACAAAAAGAAGCATATAATTCTGGGATCCGTGGGCATCCAGACTAAAGTTTTCCTTAATATGCAACTAGTATAAAGGTAGAGTGCAGAGAAAGGATTGTCAAAGTCATATTAGATCTTAGTGAGGCAAATTAGATCTTACTGATATAAATGAGACATTGAATTAAGTCTTTCTCTCAGGCTGACACTTGGAATTTTCTTTTGTAAGATTTTAAAATGCATCAGGTAATACTTACATATGTAACAGCTGATCCCTGAGCCATCACTGATACAGATAGCACCAGGACCACTGTGTGTAGATAAGTTTTTGACTCTGAGTAGTAGACACAAGATTGCTGTATTTGCAGCCTCCACTTGAGGGCTTGGGGGTTCCCTGGCCTTGCTACATTGATAGCACAGCTGGCTTTGACTCTATCCCCAATTCCGCTTCTTCCCTATGCCCTCTGCAAATCACAGTAATTCTCGAGGTGATATCCTGGTACTATCCGGGATATTCTTGGTCTTCATCCTACCTTAGAGAAAATTGATCCTCAGGTGCCTCACCTGATCCACAGTTTCCGGTTTATCCTAACCCAGGCTCTAATTCCAGGGTTACTCTCTTGCGTTGGAGGAAGAAATGGTGATTTTTAAAAGATAACCATCTAGTCAGAGGCTTCATGCTGATGAGCTGTGGGAAATAAGATCAAATGGCAGCAAAAGGGTAGACTATGGAAGTTTCCAAAATAAAAATAAGTTACAGCTCCTTTGGTTCACCTTGGACAATGATGTATGTGAGTTACACATCCTTTAAAAATACATGGTGTTATCTTTGTGTATAACCATGACCTGGTTATATAATGCTAATAAGAATGGCAGTAAAATGCCCAGTCATTGCTCAGTGAGCTCATGAACAAAGTGATCACAGTGGCAAAGATGGAGCTTATACATAGCCTCAGTAACATGGACTTTTATTCCCTACAGCTTATCTGGCTATAGCCACAGCTGAGTGCCCATCTGTCAGATGCAGAGGCCACACTGGTTCTCTAATATGGCACCATTCCCCTGGGTAACAAGCAGCTACCTGGTGGCAGGTTGATTACATGAGACAACTTCCATCATGTAAGGAACAACATTTCATTCCTACTAGAATAGATGCCAACTCCAGATATGAGTTTACCTTCCCTGAACACAGTGCTGTTGCCTAAACTAGACAGAAAACCAAAAGTCCTAAGCAAGTTTATGTTCTCCGGACCCAGTTTTTGGCTCCTGCCACCAAACGTGTTTTAATGAACTTATCCTAAGTGGCTTAAGTGGCTTCTCTTGCTTAGCTAACAAATGTGCCACTCAAAAACTTAGTTTGGCTGCAGCCTCATTGTCATTTTTTGTTTTGTGAATAAATTCTGCTATGAAGAGCTATTGTGCTTTAAATTTTCTAATTTTTGAAAATCATGACTAGGTATTAGATTTTGACAAATGCTTTTTCTGCACCTAATGATACAATCATGTGAAATTTCTTTCCTCTCAATTTGTCTTACTGTATTGGCTAGAACTTGGAGCACAATGTGGAAAGGAAAGTGAGAGGGAACATCCTTTCCTTAGCAGTAAAGCTTCTAATTTCTCACCATTAAATATGGTATTATATGTAGATTTTTGTAGATGGACTTTATGATTTGCATCTACAAAAGGAAGTTCCCTTCTATTCCCAGTTTACTGAGAGTTTTTTTCTGTATAATTAATGAGTATGGGATTTCTTCAAGTTCTTTTTCTGCATTTATTGGTATGTATTTCTTCTTAATCTGTTAATATAATGGATTATACTAGTTGGTTTATTAATGTTAAACCAGATTTGCAGATGTGCAATAAATCCCAATTTGTTGTAGTGTATAATTCTTTTTAGATATTGTTGGGTTTGATTTACCAATACTTTGTTGAGGAATATTGCATCTATTTTCATAAGCAATATTGGTCTGTAGATTTTTTTTTGGTAATGTCTTCTTTTTGGTTTGGCATTCTGGTTATGCTGGTCTCATAGAAACAGAAAGTATTCTCTGTGCTTTTCTCTTTCCGAATATATTGTAGAGAATTGGCATAATTTCCTTCCTTAAATATTTGATAGGATTCACCCAGGAGCCCATGTAGACCTGGTGTTTTCTGTTTGAAAGCTCACTAATTATTGATTCCACTTCTTTAATAGATATAGGCCTTTTCTGATTTGACTATTTCTTCAGTGTGAGCTTAGGTAGACTGTATTTTTCGAAAAGTTGGTTTGTTTCATCTAGATTGTCAAGTATGTGGGCACAGAGTTATCTATAGAATTCCTTTACTATTTTTTCAGTGTCCATAAAATCTGTAATAATATTCTCTTTTTAATTTTCATTCAGTTGTCATCTCTCTTTTTTATATGTTGAGCCTAACTTGCGTCTTATCAGTTTTATTGATATTTTCAAAGAACTGACTTTAAATGTTATTAACTTTCTCCATTTTTTGTCAATTTCATTAATTTCTGCTCTAACATTTACTATTTCTTTTATTCTGTTTACTTGTGACTTAATTTGTTCTTATTTTTTGGTTTGCTCAAGTACAAGCTTAAGTTATTGACTTTAACCTTTCTTATTTTCTAATAAATATTTTCTATGTTACACATTTTTGTCTAAGCACCGTTTTTACTAATGCCTGCAAATTTTGATAGCTTGTATTTTCATTTTCATTTTGGTTCCAAATTGAAATTGCCTGCAAGACATCTTCTTTGACCTAAGTGTTATTTAAAAGTGTGTTGTTTAATCTTCAAATATTTTTGAATTTTTCAGGTATCTTCAAATAATTTGGAAATTTTCAGGTTATTTATTTCTAGTTTAAATCCTTTGTGGTCTTAGAGAAATTGTTGTATGATTTCTATTCCTTAAATTTGTTATGATGCATTTTATGGTCAAGAATGGTCTAATTTGATGAATGTTCCATGGGAACTAGAGAAAATTGCATAGCTTTTTGTTGTTGGATTAAGTAGTAAATAGATGTTCATTATAACCAGTTGATTGATGGTATTGTTGAGTTCAACTATGTCCTTATTGATTTTCTGTCTGTTGGATCTGTCCATTTCTATAAGAGAGGGGCTAAACTCTGTTTTTAGGAATATACACATTAAATATCGTTATGTCTTAGAGAATTGACTCATCTATCATCATGTATGCCCCTCTTTATCCTTGATACTTTTCCTTGCTCTGAAGTCTGGTCCATTTGAAATTATTTTGGTTTTCTTTTGATAAGTGTTACCATAGTATTTCTTATTCCATTCCTTTACTTTTAATCTCTATGTCTTTGTAATTACAATGGATTTCTTGTAGACTACATATAGCTGGGTGTTTTTTAAATGTATGCTGACAATATCTTTTAATTGATGTATCAACCTATTGATGTCTAAAGTGATTATTAGTACATTTGGATTAATGTCTACTGTTGGTTATTATTTTGTATTTGGTGCCCTGGTTCTTTTTTCTCATTTGTTTTCTACACTTTTTTTTCTGCCTTTTTGCCCTTTGTAATTTCAGTCAAGCATTTTGTATGATCACAAAATTTTCTTTCTTTTCTTAGCATATCAGTGATGGCAACTTTTTTTTTTTTACTTTGTAAGTAGTTTTACTAGGGTTTGCAATAAATGTACAATTAATCCAAGTCAACTTTTATTTTACTTTTTTATGCTACATTTTTTTATTACAATGAAAGCTGATAAATAAACAACTTATATAGAGAAAACTTTTTATGTATTTCTGTATGTAGATTATTCAAGTGATGTCTGAAAACATTTTACTAAGAAACTACAATGAAATGTTTACATTAAAAAGTAAAAGCCAATCTTCATATACCACTAGTGGTCTTTCTACTCATCCAGTGATTTAATAAAACATTTAAAATTATTTTTCCAAAATATTTTATTATTAAATAATTTTTTATATTTATAGGGTACATGTGATATTTTAATATATGCATACAATGTGTAATGATCAAATGAAGATATTTAGGATATCCATCACATCAAAGATTCATAATTTCTATGACAATATTCAAAATCTTCTTTTTAAGCTATTTTTAAATGTACAATACATTATTGATAGCTATTGTCACTCTATTGTTGTACCCAGATGAGTTAGATAGAACAGCACCATGCTCTGAGTTTCAAATTAAGAGTCCTTTATTAATTAGCTGGTGACAGAGAGATGGCTAATGCTCAAAATTCTCTCTGCTCCAAGGAAGGGGCTGGATTCCTTTGTATACCTTGCTTAAGGTAGGGGAGGGGGAGCCTAGCTGGAGCAGAGTTTACAGAAGCAGAACAAACAAGTTAGATAAGGAGGCTGGTAACTAGGAGGCAGGAGGTTCTTATGATTGTTAGTTTTCAAGGAAGGTATACACAAGCAGTTTCCATGATTGCCAGTTACCAAGGGGGGTATTTGGTACTTGCCATATAATCAATCAAGGGGGGCATTTATAATGGCAAGTGGGCTTGTCAAGCAGGTTATGGTTACAAAGGTTATATGTTTCTGTAGTTCTAAGTATGGCATGACCCAGCATAGTAGCAAGACCCAGGTATGCACTTAAGCGAGGAGTAGCAGGAGGGGTGAGGCAGAGGTCAAGATGAAGTCTATCTGGCTCTCAGCAAAATGGAGTCTGGCTAACACAGGGTAGGTTAGCATATTATGATGCTATAGGAAACTTACGCCTTTTCTCTAACTGCATGTTTGTACCCATTCACCAACTTCTCTTTATTCCCAGCTTCTAGTAACTATTCTACACTCTAGCCCCATGAGATCCACTACTTTAGCTCTTACATGTGAGTGAGAACATGAAATATTTGTCTTTCTGTGTCTGACTTATTTCTAAGTCCACTTCAAATTAACATTAAGCTGTTTCATGGGTAGTACAAATATGTTATGATCAAATATTTCGAATCCCCAACTCCTGTTCCCTACAAAATGGTTGTCATTTATTTCACTTATTGATATCTCGCTCCCTCATCCTTGTTTGCATGGTTTCTGAGGAGAATTGTGAAATTCTTATCTTTGCTTGTCTACAGGTAATGTGATCTTTTTCTTTGGTTTCTTTCAAGACTTTTTCTTTATATATATTTTTTTGAAGTTTGCATCTGATATGTGTAGGTGTAGTTTTTTTGTTGTGGCTTGTTGTGCGGTGGCATTTATCTTTGCTTGGTATTCTGTGAGCTTCCTGGATCTGTGATTTGGTGTCTGACATTAATTTGGGAGCTTTCTCAGTTGTTGCTTTACATATTGTTTCTTCTGAATACCTTTTACATTACATAATTATTCCACAATTAACTTAAAGATTCTTCAATTAGTGAGTTGTTTACAATTGAAAGCTGCAATTAGAAAAGTTTTTAGAAGCATTCTTGTACATGTCTTTTGTGGACTTGTGCAACCACTTCTCTTAGGTACATTCCTAGGAATGAAAGTGCTGAGTCACAGGATTGGCATAGGTTTGTCTTTAGTAAACGTATGAATAATGATGCTGGGAAACTTTTCATATGTTTATTTTTCATCGGTTATTTGGATAACTTGTTTCTTGAGATATCCTTGTTTAAATCTTGCAATAAATGTACAATTAATCCAAATCAACTTTTTCACTTTTTTAAGCTAAACTTTTTATTAGACTGAAAGCCAGTCATAAAGGCTATATCATAGTTGTGAGATGTGCTTCTTCAAATCATGCATTTAAAACCATGCATTTGAACAAGCAATTCTTAAGACTATGTGTATAGCTGTTT